GAGAAAGAGTCTAGAATCGCAACAGAGGTGAATTTTCGATTGGATTCTTCTATCTGAAATCAATAACCAAAAAAGATATATAAGAATAAATTCATCACTCCACTTATACTCTGTACTTTACTTCAAAACACTACAAATCCAATTAATTCGCGTAATGTATAATTAGGCAAAGGAGAACTCTAAGCCTTATCTACAATGCCAACTAGTACTTTTTTATGTGGTAGTAAAAAAAGTTGAAGTGTGTTTGATATATATATATATATATATATTATGTAGTATTGTTTTCACAACACTTTTTTTAAGGATAATGATACCGGAGACGATTTTCATGAAACGAAATTGCGGGACGATCTATGTGGCAAGCCACGTGAGCAAAACCTGGTTGGTCCATTTTCTTTCATTTTCGCCTTCCTCTCTCTCTGCTCCAAACCCCCCCATTCGGCAAACCCGCTGGCAACACTGAGTCGTTTCTCCTGGCTCCAAGATTAAGGATGAAGGCGGCTGAATGTCAAAATCAGCATGGGCGAAGCCTGATCTGTTGAGTGGTGAAGGTGGTACTCATCATGCATCGCGGCGGCAACGGCCGGAAATTGGAAACTCACTGAACCAGTTCGTGCACATCCAGAGGATCTGATTATACACGCGATGGGAACCAGAGGAGGATTTCGAGTTTAAAAGGGGCAGAACAACAAAGTTAGAGTCCCAATTTCGGGCGGGCTCAGCGGCCAAATTCCGACGTTTGTTTGGAAACAACGGTATTTGTTCTTGGCTAGGTATACTCCAAAACTGATCATGGGTAGGGACTCTCCCGTGGGGGGTACCTCTAAGGCAAAAAATTGGTCCATTTTGGTGGTCTGTTGTTGAGACATTTTTGTGTTCTGTTGTTTGATATTGTTGTTAGGATAATGAAACCCAAATCAGTCATTTAATTCGGTCTAGGTGGCAAATATGCCGTGTGTCTGCTCACGTGGCTTGCCACATAGATTGTCCCGCAATTTCGTTTCATGAAAATCGTCTCCGGTATCATTATCCTTTTTTTAATGGAGTTTTCACAACATTTTTAATAGAATTATTATTCCGTACTTCTTTTATCTCATGATAAAACATATATATATATATATATATTATATAGTATTGTTTTCACAACACTTTTTTTTATGGAGTTTTCAATAATACAATTATTGTTCCATACTTCTTTTATCTCATGATAAAACACATTTTTATTTTATTTTTATGTTAAGAATTTGTGGATAATATATTTATGATTTTACCCGTATTATTCTTAAGAAAAATATGTAATAATAATAAGACTTCTTTTTTATGATAAGATAGATAATGATAAAGTTAATGTAAAAAAAAATATAATTAACTCTCTTAAAATATCAAAAACAACTATTATTCTATAACAAATCCGAAATCAAAAGATGCCATGGGAGTAAATAATTAATTGTAAATAATTAATTTTAATTATTTTTTATATATTCCTAGTAATTTTAATTAATATTTAGTACATTTATAAGATTGAAAAAAAAAAAAACCTACAACAATAGCACAGCATCCGGAATGAAGCCTAAAATTTCGTACTGCATTGCTCTTAATTACAGTATTGCCTTCACAATACTTCTCCTCACCGCATTAATTTCTGTTTGATAAATTTTTAGGGATTGTTTATATAAAAAAAATAGCTATAATAATTTTTAATTTTAAAAATATTAAATATTAAAAATGATACTCGTAATACAAGTTTTAAAACACCTATAATTACTTTTTTAAAATATATTTGGTTTGAAGAAAAGCGAGAGGATGAATTTTCTTATTAATAAAAGTTTTATTTAGTATGGTTGTACTTTTTAATTTTTTATTTTAGTTTTCAAAATTCAAATAACCACAATTAACAATTGAAAACTAAAATTAAAAATTAAAATTGATAACTTATTGGATGTAAAATTTTAAATCTAATACCTAAAACTTCAAACTTAGTTAATATATAAAATTTCTTAATTTTATCCTATGATCTCTAAATTTTTAAAAATCAATACCAAAAACTCAAAATCACAAATTTATTAAATAGAGTCTAAATTGTAATTTTGACAAAAATTATAATTTGATTACTTAAAAAAACTCACCTCTTCTCTCCCCTCTACCATTCCTTTCATTTTGCTTAAACCAAATATACTCCTAATATTTCCTTTTTATTATTTCTGAGATTGCTTTAATTAGTAGCAGCAACCAGAGGACCACCCATCAATTCCAAACAAATTCAATATCTCAAATCTTTTACTTTCACCAAACCCTTCAAAAGTTTGTCACCATTTTCCAACTTTTAAACTATTACTTACAATTTAATACACAAAATTAATAGAACTAACCAATACCCACTCAAAGCTCATTTTCATC